TTTCGAGAGTGCCGAGAAAATCGCCGAGATTTTCCATCATCGCGATTCCACCTATAATTTGGAAAAGGTGACCGCATTTAATATTCTGTTAATCTAATATTTAATTAATTATATTTTCTGAATTTGTAACTGTGCATATTAAAGAAAATTCTTTTGTTAAATTACAAAGAAAAGGAGTTCTCTTTACTGTCGTGTATCATATCAACCGTGTGCCGTTCTCTCACTCGAATCTTTCCGTGCGGTGCATTCCCGCACATTTCTGGTCCTTCGAGCCGGATACTCGCCGGCATCCGCATTGTCGAGTGCATCGCGTTCAGTTTGCTAGCGCTGAAAAGAAAGAGTGAGTGATGGGTAAGAAACTGCAGAATTTGCAGATGAAGCAAAACAACCTTCGCAATCGCATGGCTCAGTCAGTATCAGATCTGGAAGGGCTCGGCGCAGCGAACATTACGCTGGCAGCCGCCGAGACATGCATCGGTCTTCTGGATGGATTTTGGGCGAAATTTGAGGCTCAGCATGAGCTCATCATAGAGCATCTTGAAGATGCATTCGAGGAGAGCGAATACAACTCGACCAGAGTCGATAACTCAGCGAGAGTGACGTACATCACGCAACGAAGTCTCCTTCTCGACTATGTTCGGAAACTCAAGACGAAGGAACCGAGCTCAGCTTCCAAAACAGAAGGTAATGAGCCTTCCGGAAAACCGTCGCTGCCTCGCCTCAAGATTAATTCTTTCTCTGGCGCATACGAAGACTGGTCTACATTCCACTCTCTTCCAATCCATTGTGAGAGACAATTCATCAATCTCAGCAATCGAGAAATTTCATTACCTGAAAACTTGTCTGGAGGGTCCTGCTGAGGAACTGATTCGACCGTTAGCGGTGACCAGAGACAACTATTCACGTGCATGGGAGCTGCTGAGCGAACAGTACGAAAATAAGAGAGAGTTATCACGCTCCAATTTCTTCAAGTTTACCGCCGTGGCTAAGATGAAGAGCGAAACTGAGGAGGAGCTCAACCGCATCTTCAATGTCGTGACCAGGGTAGTCAACGACCAGGAGAGCATCGATAGGCCTATCGGCTCTCATGGCTTCGATCTACTAAATCATCTTGTCGTCGAGCTTTTCGATCCAAGAACTCGCCTGGAGTCACTCTCAAGCGCCTCGAGCGACATGCCCACTCATAAAGAGCTGATGAACTTCATAAACAAAAGGGCACGTACTCTCAAAGCCGCCAAAGCAAAATCGCTCAAGGTCTCCGACAACCCGTCGCGATCTGCCAAGTCGCATCACGTCAAGAAACACACCGAATCTTCACAATGCGTCCTATGCAAGGGTATGCACCATGTGATGGTGTGCGAAGAATTCAAGAAGAAATCCGCTGTCGACCGCAAGGCCGTCGCCAAAACTCACAGGCTGTGCTTCAACTGCCTCGGCTCTCATACATTCGCGAAGTGCCAGTCGACGAGGACGTGTTCCACGTGCAAGTCTCGTCACCACTCAATGTTACAC